ATGTCCAGTCATGACAATAACTGCAAGGACTTTGCATGTTCTCCCAGTTTCTCTAATTGTTTGGGTTTCCTCCCACACTTCAAAGACATGCTGGTAGGTTAATTGCCATCTACCATCTAAGGTGCATAGGGACCTTAGATGGTAAGCTCCTTGAAGAAAGGGACTAATGTGAATGAATAGTATGTACAATGCTGTATGTAACTGCCTATTATAAGTGTCAGATGTTGTTCCTTATGTGCACTGCAATCTCCATCCACCCAGATATTGCCCTGGGAAATATCTGCCTATCCTCAAATACGTCAATGAGCAGCTAGGAACTCTGTGTGATACACCAGAACACACGTGATACTTCAAAGCTATTCTATGGCTCATAGTAAAGTAATGCATCAAGCCAGCTTGCAGGGGACGGGTAAAACTCTCTGTGTAATCACTTGCTTATACCCACTCGGAGTTCAGAAATGGGCAGATAATTGCAAACAATATACAATACTGCAGTAATTCCTAACAGGACAGGAAAAAGGGGAAATCCATCCCCTCACCTGTCCTTGCCATCTCTCATACTGATAAAACAACCTTATACATTGGTTGCAATAAATGTAAAATCAAGCATGGCTGGAACATGAAAAAAGAAACTGACACAGGCTGAGATGAGAATACATTTTTTTTGTAAGAAGAAGAGTGCAAATCAGACAAAATGAAATCAGCGGGAGCATTTTTGAGCTCAGTGAGCGGACCACTGAGACAGATAATAGCTGTGATTGTCAGCAGACATAAAATGGTTTTGTGTATGAGACTAAAAGTTTACAGATACAGATATTACATAAAGGCTGGTTTAACACAATCATTTTACAAGAAAAACACTTTTTGTTTACTTATTATGACATAGAGCAGAGTGAGCGAGCTTAAACAGGATCTGAACTAAGTCTACCAGACTAACCTGTGGAGGCTGTTCCCAAATAAAAAGGCAGACAGAAGGCAAAGAACTAATCTCACTCTAAATATCTTAATGCTAGCATTTAGAGACAGCAATGCCTTAGATCGCACACTGTAGATCTACAGCTATGAGAGTCAGAGCAACAAGTAAGAGTGAAATTAGAACTTTTGATCTGATCTGCATACTAGCTGCAGTGCTTGACTGAAGAGTTTAAAGCCATGCGGGTAGAGCTTGACAGCCACGCAACTAGCATTTTCAGAAAGTGAGGCCAGAAGGGGCAAGCTCTCTGTAACTCACACATCAGGTTCCCTTTAAATGGTCTTTTATATAAAGAATAGGGATGCACCGATACCGATACTAGTATCAATATCGGTGCCGATTCAGAGTATTTGGGCGAGTACTCCTACTCGCCCAAATGCTCCAATGCCTAGTACGAGTACTTCCGGTATCAAAAAGCCAGGCAGCGCGTCATTACACGCTACCCGGTTTCCCGATTGGCCGGGAAGCGGCTCCATGCTCTCTCGTCACTTGTGATGAGAGAGCATGGAGCAGACTTCCTGGCCAATCAGGAAGCCGGGAAGTCTGCTCGGCTTCTTGATTGGTCGGGAAGCTGGCCAGTCAGGAAGCTGCCTCATGACGAGGGAGCATGGAGCCGGCCTCCCAGCCAATCAGAAAGCAGGGCGTCGCGTCATTACACGCGCCAGTCTTCCTGATTGGCCGGCCAGACGACTCCGGCTGGGTACCTGAGAAAGGCCGCGTTCTCACTGGAGAGGCCCCGGGGGTGACAGGCTGCACATACTAAGGTAAGAGGGGACTTTCGTGTTAATCGGGAAGCCGGGTGGCGAGTCTTTACACGCTGCCCGGCTAATCAGGAAGCCAGGTGGCGAGTCATTACACGCCACCTGGCTTCCTGAATGGGACTTCCGTTACTCGATAATTGGTATTGAAAAATAATTATCGGTACTTGTACTCGGTACCAAAATACCGGTATCGGTGCATCCCTAATAAAGAAAATGTTTACGGTAAAACTAATAAAGAAAATGTTTAATTACATTTCTGTATGATTTCCCTTTAACTGTCTTAAAGTGGACGTAGACTGACCAATTTAACTGTCTCCCAAAACAGTAACTTTTTAGGCATGTCAACTTCCAAGGTTGCCAGTGTGCCTATTTCAGCCATAACACAAAACTTTCAAGCCCTCAAATGGCTGGTGTCACAGCTGATCACATGTCCAGCAATATTGCAACTACAATTCAAATAAAGGCTAAGATGGCACCTTCCTTAGCTGTAAATGATAAGAGGTTGTAGTTACACTTTAGGTTTGCTGGGACCTTTTGGCCCAGCCCATTTTAGTGGGATGTAAAACAAAGTGGTTGCTAGGATCATGCTAACTTTTCCGCCAATGCTAATCAGGCCTTACCCATATGAGATCAAAATCAGAGAAAAAAATATGTAATCTGAGATCATTTTGAAACAGAGTACATGGGTACATACCTTACTCACTGGCGGAACTACCAGGGTTGCAGCAGTCGCAATCGCGACCGGGCCCTGGCATTCCGCCAGTTGGGGGGGGCAGAGAGAAAGAGAGCCCGCAGATCCCTCAAGCTGCCCGCAGCGTTCGTGGCCATGGGTTGCTTGGTGGCGCGTGTGCGCTGATGTTCAGGGGCTGTAACGTAAGGCCAGTGAGAAGCCTTAGGAGCCCTATGCCCACACAGCACATGCGCTAGGGGGCGGGACGAACTGGCGCTGTGTAGAGGAGACCGACGCTGCTGGAGAGGTATAGCGTCCTGTTACCAGGACATCCAGCGGCGCCTCTTCTAGCTCTCTCCAACGTGACACTGTGGCGCCCCTTCTAGCTCCCCTCTCTCCGTGACAGCGGCGGCATTCTCCCTGTACAGAAACCCACTCTTGTCTTCGTGATTTTCTGCCTTTTCTCCATCTAGAATGTGAGTCCTGTTATGACTATTTCTTCAACGTTGCATCTTCTTTTTTTTTACTGTCTGTGTACAGCAACTCCCACTGATATTTCCGCCCCCCCTCTATAATCACTATACAGCAATGCAGAATAGCACCCAACTATGTAGGACTACAAGTCTCAGCAATGCATTATATTTTAAAGTAGGGATCAACACTGCCAATACTGGGCATTTTCACGAGTACTCATACTCGTGAAAATGCCCCGATACTAAACGCAGATACCGGTGTTCAGTCAAGAACGCCGACGTAGTCGAGTTTGCTGACCTCAGCATCTGCGCTTGGGCACAGACCAATATTATCGAGGAAACCAGGATTTATTTGGAAAGTATTTATTTTAAATCGTTAATTGTGACCGTTAATAATATTCCATCCATTATTCACTGCCATGGGCTGCATATTATTACCGGTCACAATTAACGATTTAAACAAAATACTTTGTAAATAAATGGCTGTTTCCTCGATAATCCCGCCTACGTACGTGCAGATACTGGGTCAGCGTTCTTGACAGAACACCGGCACTAAAATTTTTAAACTGAAGCGGCTGCCTGAGGTCCCGCACTTGCTGGGGACCTCGGCAGCCTTCCTGTTAACCACACAGTGCCATGGTGGTTGGGGGGGGCCCTTCATAGTTTCTTGCACCGGGGCCCTGAAGGTTCTAGTTACGCCTCTGACCTTACTATTTGTTTTTCTAGAGGAGAGAGGAGAAGGCCAAGTTACCCTTTTTTTTAAGTTTCTGGCCCTTAATAGATCACAAAAGGGATGTGGTCTGCCTAATAAATAGAGACTCTACTTTCCTCTTCCACTTAGTACTGGCCACATTCCAGCTTAAGCATTTTATAAATCAGTTTCATTTGTTAAAACAAACGGATGTGTTTGAAAACCGAGCATTCAAACTAAAATCAATTTAATTCAATCAACTTATATTATCCAGTCGTGTATTCTAGGAGCACATCTACACAAACAAAGTGTGTTATTGATGTTGTTGATTTTAAGATGTATACCGAGTGAGTATGTGAACCTGGTTGCTCAATGAACTACAGTGGAATGTAGGAAGTGAAGCTATAGAGCTGTATCTACAGAATGCAGGAGGTAGAGGTATAGAGCTGTATCTACAGAATGCAGGAGGTAAAGGTATAGAGCTGAATCTACAGAGCGTGGGAAGTGAAGATATACAGCTGTATCTAGAGAATGGAGGAGGTGAAGATATACAGCTGTATCTACAGAATGTAGGAAGTGAAGGTATAGAGCTGTATCTACAGAATGTAAGAGGTAAAGGTATAAAACTGTATCTACAGAATGCAGGAGGTGAAGGTATAGAGCTGTATCTACAGAATGTAGGAGATGAAGGTATAGAGCTGTATCTACATAATGCAGGAGGTGAAGGTATAGAGCGGTATCTACATAATACAAGAGGTAAAGCTATAGAGCTGTATCTACAGAATGTAGGAGGTGAATGTATAGAGCTGTATCTACAGAATGTAGGAGGTGAAGGTATAGAGCTGTATCTACAGAATGCAGGAGGTAAAGGTATAAAACTGTATCTACATAATGCAAGAGGTAAAGCTATGGAGCTGTATCTACAGAATGCAGGAGGTGAAGGTATAGAGCTGTATCTACATAATGCAAGAGGTAAAGGTATAGAGCTGTATCTACAGAATGCATGCAAAGTGTCTGATGTGGGAACTTTTCTTCATACACCAAAGGTAGGTTACAGTTGAGTAGTGTTTTGCACCAGCTGTATCATCATTGTAAGAAAGGGACATGGCTTCATGCTGTCACTATTTGGTTAATTTGTCAAATCTCTGATGTTTTAATTAAACTGGAAGGTTTATTCCACTGGGAAAGTAAAAGGCTTTTACAGTAAGATTGTGCAGCACTGAAATACATGGAGTACTGCACTGTAAACATGTTTAAAAGGGTATATAAACCCTAACAATGAGTTTCTCTTTGCCATCTGTTAAATATACCATTGAAAGAGTTTTAATATACCTGTTAGATAAGTTTAAAAAAAATACCTGTTGATCCTCATGAAATCCTCTCCCTGTTTTATATATCAATCCAAAAAGATAATGAAACCACCATGACTTACCCAAAATAGCAACGACTTCATCATCCTGGATGACTTCCAAGGAGCCAGATACCACAAAGCAGAGGGTGTCTATACTCTCCCCGGCATGGTAGATGAGATCGCCTGGGGCACAATGTACGGTTTGGAACTCCATGGCGAGCGCCCTCAGACACCCATCACTAGCTAGGCGAAATGCAGGGTGCTCTTTAAATACTTTGCGGTTCAGGTGGACACAGATATCTGCTCGCATGTCTTTAGGACAAATCTGCAAAACCTGCATAAAAAAAGAAATTATTTGTGTTATTAAAGAAGCAAAAGCACCAACAGTACACTGAATAACATTCTCAGTTTCAATGAGCTTGTGTGTCTCCAGTAAAACTACTTCTTAAAGGGAATGTACTGTATGGTGTTTTGTATATAGTTTCTTTCTTTATTTACAGAGTTATTCACAAAAGGGTGAAGAGTTTGGAGAAGGCAGGAGAAGTGAACAATCTAGGACAACATAGCTGAACTGGAAAAATTCTCTAATTCAGCTCACTTTCCAGTTCAGCTATGTTGTCCTAGATCGTTCACTTCTCCTGCCTTCTCCAAACTCTTCACCCTTCAGTAAATAACCCTGTCAATGTTTAAAACTTAATTTATTTTTTTCCATTCAATATTGCATATAAATTTTAATATGTACCATTTGCAGCCAGCAGGTAGCGTGTTGTAAGCAACATGAAAACTTTTGGACTTTAACACAGTTGACTGTCAAGCAAAGATGGGAAAATCTAGATTAGTTAGTTTCCGCAGGCTTCAACAAACATGCAGACAGCCGTGGGGTTTCTTACTGGAGTTATGCCCCCTGTAATATATTTTGTAAAAATAAACATCAGTTTTTAAACTCGTGAAAATTAAACTGTAAAATAAAAATAACAAAATCCATGAGCATTTCTCTTTGTAAGGTAAGCCTGTATTTTTTTCAAGCCAAGCAATTGAAATGCTGTATCGCAGACACACTATTTACCTTACTCGCTCTCCCCTGCTGCCTCAATGTGCCACTAGTACTGATACACGGGGGTTTAGAACAATGCCAAAGCAAATATTGCAATAAGATAAAAAATATGTGAAAGAGAAGGATGCACAAACATAAAGCCTGGGTTGTAGAATGAGAGAGGCAGAACAATATACAGGCATCAAGATCAAATATTGTAAGAAATAAATCTGTTTGTTATACTGAAATCATCGCTTAAAGAGGTATTAAAGTCAAAAGGATTTTAAGCTTTTTCAAATGCTGATTTAATCACTTATAATGGATGCTGCTTCTTGATGTTTAGAAGTTTTAGCTTCCCGCAGAATCATCTGTTCCCCTGAGTACTGGCCCTAATATCCTGTTTTAGGGTGGCTCCTTCCCCTTGCAGGATCCAATGGAGCCACCCTTGTGTGTGCTTGTAAGCTGTGTCTCCACAAACACACAGACACAGCATACGGCAAGACACTGTCCTGCTCTCCACTCCTTCATCTCTTCTGCAAGCTAGTAGATGGTTTTCTCTTGGAGACTGCCCTTTCCCTTGTGATCTTGTACTGGACAGTAAGCTCAAAGCTGAGCTGACAGAGTTGGAGCTGTTCAGAAACATGATGACTGTATGTGCTTGGGAAAAATTGTTTTTAAAAAAAAGACTTTGCTGTGCAATGTATATTTTTTTATTATTTTTTTTAACCTGGATTCATTATTGAAAAAAAGCTTGAGAGCTTAATGCCACTTTGAAGTGTATATAAATCTTAAATATAGATGCTAGAGTCTGCACACTCCTTTGTCCTTTATGTATAGAAGCTCTCCATGCTCTGTATACGCCTGGTGAATCTGCTAGTCCCCTACTGAAACATGGAAGTAGATTTTCAGAATGTGTTCTTTCCTTTTCTCAGAGATCTACAACTCTTTAAAAGAGAACCATGGGGTAAGTGTTTTCCCCATAGTTCTCTTTAGGGTCATGGGAGGACACATACTAACCTCCTCCCGTTACCCAAAGCTCAGTATATAGCGGGCTATTGCCCGTGATGTACTGAGAGCGCTGCAGCCGGGACGGATCATGGGAGGACACATACTAACCTCCTCCCGTTACCCAAAGCTGCTGGCTCTGCCTATCTAGAGGCAGAGCCAGCTGTACCCGCCCCCTCCCCCGTCCGTTCCTCCACTCAGGGATGGTGGGAATCCCTCCGGGGAGGGGTGACTGACAGTCACCGCTCTCTGCAGGGAGATGATCGGAAAGTAAGCGAGCGACGGTATGTGTCCGCTCACTACCCGATTAATAGAGCCGACGTGTGACAGCTTCTTTGTCACAGGTCGGCTCTAAGTATGAGAATGAGTGGGAATCTCATAGTTCTCCTTTAATGGTGATGAAGTGGATTTTAAGCAGTATACACTTTTTAACAGCAGTATGTTTTCTTCTGCCCCTAGAGTTTGTATTGTAAGTGTGTGGGAGCTGTCCAGTGCTGAATCTATGCTGTTACAGGTATATTGCTGGACGATGATTTCTCATTTTTTTTCTGTTTTTTTTTTACAATAAAAGGGTATCTATGGTCACTAACTAAAAATTAGGGATGCGCAGATACCTATAATAGTACTTGTACTTGCCCAAACGCTCCGATACTTACCCCCAATACCGGAACATCCAGTCAGGGGGAAAATTCCTCTGAATGGCAGTCCCGCGAGGGAACATGGAGCCGGCTTCCCAGCCAATCAGGAAGCTAGGCGGCGGGTATTGACTCACAAACCCGGCTTCATGATTGGCCGGAAAGCCAGCTCCATGCTGTTTGCCCGGCTCCATGCTGATTGGCCGGGAGAGCTTCCCAGTCAATCAGCATCCCAGCCAGAAAAAGAGCAATGTCCCCTCTTCCAAAAACATATCAAATACTTCTAATTGAAACCACATTTTTAGAAGGAGACAGCTTTCCATAACAGGTAATATTTTGCTTTTTGTATATTTAGAAAGAAACATAAAGTTACAAGAAAACAGTGCACAGTGCTTACTTCTCCTGGCCTTCAGGTTATAGGAAGTTTGGTTGTTTCTTCAATTTCAGAAAAAAAAGTTTTCTCATCAACAAATTGCCTTTGGCCTCAGACATAGGCAGCAAGTAATAAACAACATATATTATGTTCTTTTACTTTCTGGCCCACTGTAATTACAACCTATCATTTTACAGTCCGAATAATGACACATAAGACATAAGACAATTGTTATTTAGCTATACAATGCTGCACAAAGGGGGCTGGGTTGAGGAGAAGTTAAAAGCATGGGGATTATTTACTCATAGCTTAAAGGAGATGTTCACCTAAAATAAAAAATATAAAAACTTTGTCATGTTGATTGCATTACTTGGGGGGATTAATGTCACTGTGCAATCTCTGCAAAGTAACCAGGGCATTCTGATGTACAAACAACTATCTGGTCACTAGCAACATATGCCCCCATTTGCATCCTAAACCTCACTATTGGCTGTAATGGGCCAGTTGTAAGACATGCAAATAGGTCAAGTTCATACAAATGTTTCTGATAGTCCCCCAGAATTCAGGGCTCATGAGGAACTCTGCACAGAATCTAACCATTAGCATTCAGAGCTACCTTTTCTATGCAGTAAGTGGTTTTATGTCTTAACCACTGATTAACTTTAAGAACATTACCTGCTCACTGTCCAATGTCTGTAATTTCAGTACACTTACACAACAAGTGAATATTAATGGAGTGATTAACAACACACCAAATAATCTTGTGTCATCTGAGCTGGTATCACATGTGCAGTATGTCAGAGCTGCCAGACACTTCTATAGGGGTGATTACTGTTTTTCCTTCAATTCTGTGTTTACCACCAAAGTCCTATATACAGTAACAACAACCTGTTTTTCCCTTTCTAACACATTTTTCATTTATGGAAAAATAATTACATTTGTCAATAGTGTGTACAAGTGACTCTTGCCTTGCAGCACAATGGTCCTGTGTTGGACACAATCCTAAAATATAGTAGAAGATTAACAGGGTTATTCACAAAAGTGTGAAGAGTTTGCAGAAGGCAGGAGAAGTGAACAATCTAGGCCAAAATAGCTGATTTGGAAAATTCTCCAATTCAGCTCACTTTCCAGTTCAGCTATGTTATCCTAGATTGTTCACTTCTCCTGCCTTCTCCAAACTCTTCAACCATTTGTGAATAACCTTGTAAATTGTTCTGTTGTGTGTATGAGTGTAGACTGAACATTAGCGTGAAGCTGGCCACACCTGGAGCAAATGTTGGCTATTTCTTGATGGGTATCCCTGTCGGCAGTGTCTTACCCGACACCTTTGGATCTGAAGTTTAAAGGAGCCAGGCTGAAAATTCTCATAGTTACATAGTTAGCCAAGTTGAAAAAAGACAAGTCTATTGAGTTCAACCTATAGAGTTCCAGTTCAACCTATAGAGATCGAGTTCAACCTATAGAGATCAAGTTCAACTCTATTCTTGGGTGAACAGTCACTAAAGGCAATCAGCTGCAGTCACTGTTCATGGATTGTGACAGCACTGGATGTCAGAATACAATAGCCACAGCGGAAGATTTGTCCATCCACTCTGTTTAGCATGGATGGGGGAAACTGTTCAATTGTTTTTAGCTAGCCAATATATGACCAGCTTTAATCACCTGCAGGCACTGCTATGAAAGGTTCAGTGGTCCCTGTAAAGCACTGGAGGAGATGCTATATAGTTGAGTAAAACCAATAATTTTTCCTAAATGTTAAGTTAAAAAAAGATTGCATGACGAAAATAGTAAATAGTGTGAAAAAGAATAGGCATGGCTTTCTTAGAGTATTTTGGTTTACAGAGAGCCACCCTTTAAATGAATTATTTATGCATTAGGAGTCACAGAGAACATGCCATATTCCCGCAGTCACTTTGTGTAATACACTTATCCAATGGACTATGGGTAATGTGGTTATTAGAGGGGTAATCAATAAAATACAGCCCTCCCTGGGGAGCAGATATTATTGACTGTCTCATGTATTAGCCTTTAGTGACTTATATGTCCGATTCCAGAAATAGGTGGGACGGCTCCTTTGGCAAAAATACATTTGCGTTAGCAAAGTAATAAAAAGATACACAAAACCTAAAGTCAGTTTACTGAAACATTCATATTACTTCTCATCCAAGAAACAAACTCATTATTCAAGTCACTGCTATGACAGCCTGGAGTATACACGCACCTACAACCTTTCTGCTTCACACAACAGGAGCAGCAATGTGATACATTAAGTGGTTTATTCAAATGCGCCAGAGCTGTAATAGAATGCAGAGGCAGCATGCTGCTAATGGCACAGGCTGGAGGGAACTGCTACATTTAGAGAAATACAAAGCCTTTAGAGGATTGGCTGCTTTGGGTACGAATTAATATTTCAAGAAAAGCGAGAGTGCATGCAGAACTATGTTCCTTTCATTACGGGAAGTGTATTCCATGTTATTTTGCGATTTTAGGTCTTTCTTGCTGGAGAAGCAAGTAAAACTTTCTAACCAAAAGGAAGAGACCACACAACCAAAGGTATAAGGAAGAGACCACATAACCAAAGGTATAAGGAAGAGACCACATGACCAAAGGTATAAGGAAGAGACTTCACTGGATTCTAGGTGATAAAATCCGTTTTGTGTAGGGTTGCTCCAAAAAGAGAACCAGTCAGAAGGGCAAAAAATATTAAATTATTACAGCTTTGAAAGCTTACTTATCGATTATGTATATTTATTCCTTTATTCAGCTTTATTCCTTTGTCTTTGTAAGAATTAGGGATGAGTGCTAGTGTACTGCCAATTTGAACTTTCTATTTTACCTTTTTTTTTACTGTTTTCCCCGTGTATCTGATTCATTTCTGTAAACAAAAAGGCTAATGAGGGATTTTTTAGGCACCAGAACAGGTCCAGGATGAATAAAGTAGCACCAATACCCCAGTGCCCCTTCTTGCGTAATTTTCTCCTAGTCCTTATACTGTATTTATTATGTCTTCTTACCTCTCAACTTGTTATGATAATCTAATTTGGCATACACACTTTGATCATCTGACACTTGACAATGCAGTATCTATGATTTTGTTTGATGATGATTTAATAGCAAACACAGACCTCCAAGTATTTCTTTCAGAGTTACCTCTAAATAAGCTGTGGGTTGTTTCAGGAAGCACTGGAAGAACACACTAAAATAATACCAGTTATGCACCTTTTCAGTATCGATCCCCCGAGACATGGACCAGGTAGACACTATGTAATCCATCACACGCTCACTCAGTCCTTTGGGCACTTGGTAAAGTTTGAGGAAGTCCCTCACACTGTTCAGCATTTCATGGTAGCGGTTGGTGTTGGCATACATTTGCTGGAAGATGGTGGTCACATTACCAAAAATAGTTGCATATAGAAGAGCTGAAAATGAAAGAGAACATTTCATATTGTTAGTTACAATTGAATTAGCCCAATGTATTGTGGTCAGGACTAAAAAAATTTTATATTGAATATAAAATATTATTTATTTTTCTATTTTCAGCCAGCAGGTGGGGATTTAGCTTCCTTTTCAACTTTTCTGATTTCTCTTTGCCACCTGTTGTTAAAAATGTGTTATTTGCAGAGCTCAGTATCTCATGCGGAAATTTACATACACAAATAATTAAGTCAGAACAGAAATTTATTCCCTCCATTTAAAATATCAATCAGAGTGGCTAAAATAAAACAATGTCTGCCGTGCATTCTCTTTAGAAAAATCCATAGTGCACTGGGGAATTTGTGGCTTGTGATCACCCTGATTTATATGTTTATTTGTAAAACAATAATTGTATATATTATTTGCATTAAAACAAATTTACTTGGGCAAACTCCCTGACTCTTGGGACACAATTCTAGATAATACACCCTATTCCACCCTTTCGCCTACACAGCGGCTCACTTAATTATTTATTCTACATAGAGTCTATCATACTTGCCATGTTTAATTGTTTAAGTGGGGCAGAAGAGAATCAGGAGATTGTCCAAGGTGCCAAGGGGAAAACGTCAACTTAATCCATATGTTGTGGAGATGTCCCAAACTCTTTCGCTACTGGGAGGAGATTGTATCTTCCATTATTAATATACAGTATTTAGTGTCACACTAACCCTGGATTCTAGGTTCTGCATGCTGAGCCTTATTGTGGAAGACCAGTATGCCCCAGGGGTTTTGGATTCAATTATATGGCTTCTCTTTGTGGCAAGGGAATTGATTGACCTTAAATTGATATCCCCTCATCCACCTACTCTGGAGGACTGGCACTCTCAGGTTAATCTTTTATTTCCAAAAGAAAGGTATGCTTTGATTCATAGAGGCTGTCCACAAAGGTTTCCAAGGTTGTGGGGCCCATGGCTATCGATGCCTGGCCTTGCTCCACCTGCCTGCTTTTACGAAACGTATTAGGTTGATTGGCTCTCTAGGAGTAGGAGTGGAACTCTACCTATACTTCACCCCATCCTCTGTGTACCAGATTTTCAGTATAATCCCTGTTTGGGGTTCTAAATTGTTTGGATGAGATGGACGGGGTGAGATGAACAGCACTGTGGTGGATACTACTAGAGGGATTGCTATGGTGGTTATTGTGGCAATGTTACTTATTGTTTATTTTTCTGTGTTTATTATGTTAATTTCTTTGAATGTGCTGTTTTTCTGGGTATTTATGACTTGTTGCTATTACTATACCTTTAATATTGCAATGTTCTCCTCATAATTGTACCTTATCTGGAAACATACTATAATATATTAGAAGGATGAGTAGCCTCTTAATAATACAATTCACTCACAATCTTACTGTGGCATATATTTTTATTCTTTCAGTATACATAAGTATCAGACTCTGATACTTATGTATAGTGATAGTGAATGCTCCATTGTTAAATCTAAGCTACAGTATGAGATGCAGCCAACTGTTTGCATGCTTCTCTTGCTTTTGTATTTCTATGTAAAAAAAGAAAACCTTCAAAATCCTAATAAAAAACATTTATATGCAACTATTAAAATATGCAGATTTAAAAAAAAAAAAAAATGAAAGCTGTGATCCGTGCTAAACCAATATTGTCTAAACACAATATTCATGAGTATTCTTATTTGAATCTCTGTGTCCTTTCCAAATTTCTTCCAGATCTGAGTAGTAATCCAGCATTAAACAACTCCTGCACTCTGCCTCTTTCCAGGCACTGCAATAAAGACCAGTCATTACAGCTCTCTCTACTTGTGCAGGGTGACTGGTCTTGCATCTGCCCTCCTGTAGATTTCTGCAGGCAGCCTGTTGCCGGTGGGCCTGCTGGCACCACAGCTTTTACAAGTTAATATCTGGGTCTACAAAGGCATTTGTTCCACACAAAGTGATTTTATATCTCTTGTGGCTTTTGAGGAATACATTTAAATTAAATTTTTGTTGTGGTCAGAGCTTAATTTTAAAACTAAATTGACCCAAACCCACTACAGTTTCCATCACAAAAATGAATCAGTGATAATGCCACATAGGGTGTAGCCTACCTCCTGAGTGTCTCAAAATATCTTCTTGGAATTGGCGTTCTGTTCATTGCTGCCCCCTAGTTAAATCTCTATAGCTGCAAGTATATTTATTTTGAATGACCCAGAATGGAGCCTTCAAAAATGAAGGTCAGAGTGTTCCTTGGTTCTGATACTGCCCCCTCCCTAAGCTGATCACAGCCTCTCTCTCTCTTAACCCTTGGGGCATGAGGGAGATTGCACAACACAGACTCATGTAGTATCTCACAACTCTTACCAACTCTTTTACACTGGGAACTGCAGTTGTGAGATTATACACCAAAACTCCCGCAATGGTGGTAGCATAGCCAGTACTAAACCTAGTGATGGTGTCACACTTTCCCTGTGGATTTTATACAATGTAGAATACATTTTTAGAGAATCCAGCTACTGAAAAGTTTGTTATAGCATTGTGGGAAAGGGTGTAGACATAAACTACTGCAAGAATCTCGAAACCACTGGAGAGATGGGGTGAGTAGAGTGATTCAACCCACTAAAGCCCACACTTAGCTGAAAGGAGAGTTTTGGAGTTTAACAGAAAATAATAAAAAAGCACAACAATAAGGAAGCACTATAACATCCCACTAAATGCACCATTATCTCTAAAAGGAACATCAATGGTACAGAGAAGATCTTTAGATAAAGGGCTTATCTAGAAATAGAATATTGGGTGTCATCTATTCTAAAGCTGTTCTTTATACAAGATTAAATTTGTAATAGGTGTCTAAGAAGTAGTGTACCAAACACATACTGTATGGGGGATGTAGGCCAGGAATTCACAAAATCCGGTACCTTAATAATGCAATTAAAATGTTATTACATAAGAGTCTTAATGGAGGAATCTCAGTCCAGGTCTTACAGTTTGGCCCTTTTCCCAGGACACTTGCTTAATTGCTATCAAAAAAGTGCCAGAAGTAGTAGGAAGGTAAGGACGTCCCTGGCAAGCAAGGCAAGTATCTCGGGGGATCAACATTTTTCCTAAACGTATTTACACAATTAAGATCTTCTTAGCTGGGACTTTGTGATAAGCAGAACCCAGCAATGTTTGGCATTCTTAAACAGCTTCTATAAAGACAGTACACCCATCTATTCTGTTTGCTGTATGGGTTTAAAAGATGATTTATGAGTGGTGTAAAGGCAACCAAACATACCCCACCACATTTACACATCTGAATTTTCTTCACAATCAAATGCATGGATTCTTCATAGTAATGCAAAATACATATTTTACATATTTGCGGTGTACTATAGTTGAATAGCTTAAAGTGACACTAAACTCAGAAATGAAATCTTAGGTACAGTTTACACCAATTGCGGTGCATTCCAGAGCAGTAGCTGCTGGAACGCACAATTAATCGCATCGCAGCCACACCCCCCACCCACAGTGTGATCAGATGTGTAGCAAACATTGCCTGCGTTCCGGTCCAGTGCGAACGGAAAAAAATGCAGCATGCAACATTTGCGTTCGCACTGGACCGGAACGCAGGTCCAGTGTATGATCGTACTTGCGGGGGGCGTGGCTGCGGTGTCATTGACCTCAATGCACCGCCACGTCCCCTCCCGCCCCAGAGCGAAGGGGGGAGTTAGGTGTACCATTACTGTGCATTCCAGCAACTGGTGGGTCAGTTCTGCAGTACAGGTAAACAATTCATGCCTCCTGTTATTGTTTATGTATTTAATAGAGTGGGGTAAACAGGGTTTATTCAACAACAGGCATGTTCTTTAAGAATATTGTAACAAATAAATATTTTCTAACCATGCTCAAGTGAAAATGTAGCCCTCAGATGCAAGCAGGTGAAATGTCATGTGAGTACGAGTACGCTACTGCAAAACAGAGCAGAGGTAGACATTATAGAGAATGTAGACTATCCATTTACTAGAGGTCAAAGACATTAACAGGAATGCAGACTATCCATTTACTAGAGGTCAAAGACATTAGTAGGAATGTCGACTATCCATTTACTAGAGGTCAAAAACATTACTATAAGGTTTATTCATAAAAGGTGAAGAGTTTGGAGAAGGCAGGAGAAGTGAACAATCTAGGACAACATAGCTGATTTGGAAAAATTCTCCAATTCAGGTCAGTTTCCTGTTCAGCTATGTTGTCCCTGATTGCTCGCTTCTCCTGCCTTCTCCAAACTCATAACCCTTTTATGAATAACCCTGTATGACTGCAGACTATTTACTAAAGACCATTGAGTATCTAGCCTATCCATTCTTTAAGTGAAGATACTCAACTCTTGTACAAAATCAAACCAATATTATCTATTATTTGCTAGAGCCCAGAGACATTCATTAGAATACATTTGGGGCAGGATTCATTCAAATTTTGGAACTATCAATATAGTATTACACATGCACATATTACCTGCTGTTAATACTAATGTTCTAGAAGAATGTGGCAAGATCCTTACCTTTATGGAAACAATAGCAACTACCTAAAAATATCCAACAAGGTCTATTTCCTGCCCCTCCAAAACAAGAAAATTGTTGCTTGATCCAATTCAATTTTTATCTAGATGAGTCTATAGTGATCTTACATCCATAAGTACCTTTAGTTTGTCTTATAACACAATCACGTTTTATACCTTGGAGCTCATAGTAAATAATCACCTCTCTTTCTTAATAAATATGGATGGATCACCTTGCTCCAGCTAACCCAATTTTTCTTTGATGAATATGCCTCCATTAATAAACCTTGACTTGCAGTCTACCTCGCTCTTCTGTAAAATACACTCAGAGATCACACAGGTAATTCTACTAAATAAATAAATCACTTCCTTATCCTGCAGTAATGCACTTGTTCTTTCTTTTCTAATTATAGTTAGTGTCACCTAGTAAACATACAATAAGCAGGTACATTTACAGTAGT